GGAACGGGTGTGTTCCCTCCTTTTTTTTTTTTTTTTTTTTTTTTTTTTTTTTTAACATTCCCAAGAGCTGCCACAGAATTTAAAGGGAGAAACAGTTCACCGAGAAGCTTTTATATTGAAGAAAAATTTTTAAATGCCCAAATCTCTTATTTTCTATAACCCACGTGGCACAAAACTGAAAAGAGCAGACTGCAAAGCCTGCTCTTGTCAGAAATAAAAATGCTCAGTACTCATCTTTTTCAATATATAATAAAACAGAAGCAGCATACCAACACCTCACTCCAACCCTGACCTCCACGCAGGGTGCTGCAGACTGCAGCCCTGCACATGCTACAGCGGGTTTTGTTTAAGCGAGTAAATGGAACAACAGCTGGCCATTCGCTGCCTGCTCCTTCATAAGCTGCGGCAAAATGAAGCAACCACTCAACCAGGTTTTTCATCCTGCTGAGCTGACAGGGTTTGCAGAAACAAAAGGTCCCAAATGAAACAAAAAACGCAACCTTCAGCCTTCCTTCTCCCTTGTCTCCAGCCCTCAAAACCTCAACACCTTTCTGTATAAGATAAAAGCAAAGACACGGCCCCTTTGCTGCAGGGCCCTGGCTCCAGCGCAGGGGTGGTTGCTGGGCACGCCACTCAAAGCGGACGCATTCCCCCTCTCCTAAGCAGGCGCCTGCCAGCTACGCAGCCCCCACGTTACGACCTTCCTTTCGTCTTTGTACCACCACAAGCATCTCAGACGCTCCGATTTTCTTTTTGGACATTGCGCTGGTTTGCAGAAGGTGACAGCGCAGGTTTTCAGTGATGAGAAGGAGCGAGGAAACCGGTCCTATCGCACAGCCGCTCACCCTCTTTCGGCAGAGCCGACAGGCAGAAGTGCCCAGCAGCTCTGGCGAACAAAGGCCCTCATTCAGTCTGCCCTGTTGTCTTCGGCAGATCCAGCACCTGGGATGGGGGAAGCTCATTCCAGTCTACCTTCTCCTAAGTGACAGATGTCTTTAAATACCTCACTTTCATATAGAGATTACAATCCTCCCCTTGAACACTGTCTTCAGTGTAATATGCCAGTGTAAACTGTACATCTCTGCCATTATTTTATTTATTTTTCTTTTGCACTGTTTTTCAGGCAGGTCGAAAGGAGCAGCCTGGCTCAGGAGCTGCTGTTTCCCTGTGCACAGCTCCCCATCTGCAAGAAACAGCTATCCCTGGCTTCCAGCTCCGGCTGGCCGCCTTTTCCTCCGCATTTCAAGCATTGCTTAAAAGAGCTCTGTTTTCAGTAGCTCTGGGGAGGACTTTGTTTTCTTTGTTGTTTGTTTGTTTGTTTTTGGTGGTGGTGAGAGGGAGAGAGGACAGGAAAGAAGGAGGCCTAAACACACGCAGACACCCTGGAAGAAAAGCAATCTCTACCCCCCCCCCTCTTCCCTTGGAGGAAGCTCGGAAGTTTAATTGCCAAGGGAAAAAAATTAAAAATAAAAAAAGCTTCCCAAAACCACCATCAACAAACAGACCTTCAAAATTGCAAGTAATTTCTGAAAATACAGAACCTCTGCAGCAAAGGGTGGGAAGTGCACCCGATTGCAGAGTAAACAGACAACCCTAAAGTCGACACTTGGCAGGCAAGGGACAGACTCAAAACCAAACACTGAAACGTGAAATCACGATCAGCTTTGAAATGCTTCCCATCACAGAGCAGAAAAAGGACAAACAAGAAATCATTCTTTTTTTTTTTTTTAAAGTCACATTTCGAAAAAAACCTCTGATTCTCTACATAAATGTACTCACACTGGTCAACTGAAGGACCCCCACAAGAGAAAAAACTTTTCCAAAAGCATCAGCATTTCAGTTCTACCATTCAAATGGTTGCAACAAAATTAATCCCTAAAGTTCAAACGTAAGCTACTGCCAAAGCCGGATGAGAATCACTTTGTACACATACTGCAGCACAACAAAGACTTTTGTCAAGGCTTACGTAATTACAGTACATAATTTCAAGTTTTAATGCAGACACTGAATAAGCACTTGGAAAAAGAGCATTATGCATCTATCAGATCATTGATAAAACACTGCATTAGTCTAATGCATTAAAAAAAACCCTACAACCCTGAATCATGGCTATTTAAAAAGGGGAAGCTATTCTGCCTGTGAATGCTTTCCCATTACTGGTGAATGAAACCACAGAAGTGCAATCAGAGGGCAGCAGCAGCACTCAGACGGGAAATGCGTCTTTGTCCCCATAGAAACCGTCAGGGAAACCCATGAAAAACAATACGACTCTGAATTTCTTATCAATATGCCATTCATTACTTGACTGCATTCAGACTTTGCTCTTCAGCAATGTAACAAAACCTAATCAATTAAATGTCTTCTAGAAGATTCTTCAATGTAACCTCCTGAGTTAGCAGCACCCGTTTCTGACGGACAGCTTTCTTGCACACCCTACATTTTTTTCAGAGTGATTCACATTATTCCTCCCTGCCGAGCTTAGAGGTTACCAGCAAATTACTACACTGCCTTTTACCACAGAAGGCAGGGCCCCAGGAACCCTGCATCCACACTCCAGCTCCACTCTTATTCTCCAAAAGCAAACACAATTTCCATGCCTGAATCAGTGGAATTACTCAGAGCGCACTAAGCTCATTCCTACCATGA